TACCCCTCTTGATAGTTGTCCCAAGTCATTTTTTATCAGCTTGTGAAATTGTTTTGAGAATTTTGAACTATAACGATAGGTACTGTTATTTTATTGATGGATATTTATTAAATAATTAACTTACTTAGTTGGTGGTTAATGGGCCAAGTCTATAATTTATTTAATACTCTATATCACTTGGCCCATACATGAAAATAAGTTATTAGGGTTAAAAAATTATATACATAATTACTTGAGAAGCGAGAGGAGTATAGCAAAAAAAATATTTGTGCGGCATTGATAAGAGGAAAACCACCTCCTGGTAAGCAAATCTTCAAGATTTGTGCCTGCATATATTTATCTTATTGCCGCATATATACAATGTAACTCATTTTGTATTAAATGAGATTAGATAAGTTTTAAAGTTGACATGTTAATATTGTTTGGTATTGTTTTGGTCGAATTAATGAGAAACATAGTTTATTCTTCAATAAAGTAATGATGGAAATTATTGGATATAAGAGTAACGATTGGTTGAGTATAAAATCATCGGAAACTTTAGATTTTGGTATAATATAGGTCAATTTTAGCAGGTTTCTTTTATAGTGCTTAGGTTACTGATGCTTAATCCAAATCGGGTTGAAAAGTTTCTTATGGTTATCATATTATGATTTAAGTTTTGATATATTGAGATAGGTAATTAAATATTAAGTATATTGTATTATATGAGTAACAGTCGAGTTATGTTATTTGGAGGGATTAAGGCTTAATCGTAGACTTGAAATTTGAAAAATATGAGAATTGACATGTTAATTGGCATCAAAATTAGGAACTTGATTATAGATTGGGGTGAGGTTTTGGGTCTAGACTAGACAGATAGTAATATGGGTGTTGTTAGTTTTGAAATCTTATTGTGATTATTTATTTGAATAGATTGTATTGATTTCGAAGTCCAACAGAAGAGGAAGGCTCAAGTCCCGGAGTAATTGCTCGATAGTTTGAAGCAAGTGAATTTCTCAACCCTTGTTAAGTGTATAAAATCATGTATTTCCTTGTGGTATGTGTTGGGGAGTAATGGAACTTGGTAATGGGTTGACTTGTCCATATTGAATAATTCTAATGATGAAAAAAGGGTAGTAAAAGGATATGTGATTAATTATTGGTCTGTGATGTGTTGAAAATAGTTTGATAGGCTTATTGATTAATTGTTGATGTTGTATCACGATTGTGTTGTTGTGAATTGTGCTTTGTTATGATGTCACGATCCAGGGGTACGTACACCCTAGATGTAACATGGCGTATAGAACCCCGAAGGACTCCATTCAAGTCACCCAGCTCTCATAACATAAGAAATAGGACAATAAGAGTAAAACAACATATTTCAAGTCCAAACATTTTATAAAAGAAAGCGGAAATCTAAACTCTTTGTCTCATCATAGCCAAACATAATAGAATGAAATTGGGACTATCCCATACATCATGTCCAAAAGTGAAATACAAGAAAGGGAACTAAAATAATGAAAGTCCATCAGCGAAGCATAAAGACTCACCAAAGCTCGAAAATATCTCAAGTCAACCTCTAGCCACGAAACTGATGACCCTGACTGTCGGACCCTATATTTGGGGAAACATAGGCAAGAGTATGCGTTAGTACAAAAATATCTACCAAGTATGATAGTCATGCATAAAACATTTAAAACATGCTAAAGGGACATTTCATTTCATGACATCCAATTGACCAAGTTAAAATATGATATAAGAAAGTTACAAACATACTTCATAAAATAAGGCCAATGCAAGCTAATCATCTTTAAACCTTTGAACACATATGAGATACTTCTTGAAGTAACCTTAGTTCGTTATTAATGTGGGGGATTAGCCTTAACCGACATAAATACCATGTGAGCTATAACATCATCCCCCGTGTCTCCCACACCGAAAAGGGTTGTCCTACTTGCCAAGGTAAGGACCATGAATTTCTAGCTTAAGTGGATCCACTAGCTAATGTCTCTTGAGACAATCATCCTATGGGGACACATAGGTAATGGATAAGAAGATAGCTTCTAGAAATCCGGCATCTACTAATGTGAGAGTTTCCAACTCAATATCCCTTTGGTGCTAAGCATAAATCCCACGGAGACTTATCTCTTTGATCCATGGAAACGTATCCTAGGATAATCAATCCAAGCTAGTTTCATTAGGATAGCTCTTACTCTTTGATTCAATTAGGTGAGAAAGCCTTTCAACCTAAGAATCCTTATTATGTGAGAAAACCTTTCACATCATGCTAGTATGTGTTTACGAGAATATCCTTTCAACAACACAACAACAACATCATTTTTGGTACTTTACTCTCAAAGCACCCTTAAAACATTTGCATAGATTTCATAAGAAAATGCATAAATCCATAATTTACCTCTTGAGGTTCTAAACCCACTTTCAATCTTCAATACATAGAAAACATAGGTTAGATATGGCTTTAATCATAATTTCATGTAAATCTTGCAATACATGCTTAATTTCATAAAAACTCTTTCTTTACAATCAAAATCTCACATCACATGATTCAAAACTTGGAAACATAGGGGTTACATGGGTTCATGGGGAAATCATCATATTTCATCAATTCATGCATAAGAGATCATAATTCAATCATTTAAATCAACATTGAAGAAAACCCATGACAATTGAAGAAACCCTAACTCAATTAGGGATTTCTAACTTTGAAAATAGAGAAATTTGGTAACTCCATGAATGAAAGGAATCCATTGATGAAAACTATCATACCTCAAAGTCCAATGCTTAACTTCAATGGAGGAATTGAAGCTTGACCTTGCTCCTAGCTTGAACCCTTTCTTCTTCTTCAAGTTCTAGAGAGAGAAATATTTGAGAGGAAGAACTTTGGGGATTTCTTTTTGGTTTTGGAAATAATGACTTGAATTGGTGAGTTTTTGGGTTAAAATGACTTATATAGGGGTCCTAGGCTTTGGTAAAACGACATAGCTTTAATCTAATTAAAACTGGAAAGGACCAATTAACCCCCAACTAGCAGTGGACTACCTCACCACCATGTGGGGCTCCACGAGTCATGGTCCCTACCACAAGCCGTGGTGGCTTCCGTGGCCTTGGACCAGTGGCTAGGTTGCCACCCCCTTTTCCCCTTAAAAACTAAGTTAGGACCACGACCCCTCCCACAGTCCTGGTGGCCTTCACGATCCGTCTAGTGGCTCGTGGGGAGGGTCCTATTTTGGGGCAGTGTAGCCTAGCTACTACCTAGACATTCACGAACCTCACCACGACTCGTAGTCCTTACCACGAACCGTCCTGGTGGTCATGGGAAGGTGGGGCAGTGCTTGGTGAAGGCTAGGTTCCCCAAGCTCCCTTTCTTGGCCCTTGCCCTCTCACTTAGACCTAGTTTAACCTACTTGATTCTGAGGTGTTACATATGAAAATGGTCATCTCCTCATTATTTGTGTGAACATGTCATTTGCATTGGTTCTGAGACATGGTTGTGATAAGTGTTATGTGAATTAAGGAAGAATAAAAAATTAAAAAGGATGTACCATTTCGAGGGATGTGTCATGCGCCGTGATGGATATTATGATTCGTGGGACGTGTCGCACGCTGCAATGGATTTTATTATCGAGGGACGTGTCACATGTCGTGAAGAATTTTATTATCTAGGGTCCTGTCGCATTCCGCGACGGATGCTTGGACAAATATGTCCCCCATGGTCCTAGACTGTGAAACAGCAGGTGTGTATCACTAGGTTAGACATGCATCACTATACTTGGCATTGCATTGCATATCTATATCATTTGTGAACTTGTGAGTGCATTTCTGTGGAACTTGTGATTGATTAACTTAATCATGTGTATTGTTGATCCAAAATCATTGGAGTGTTCTTATTGATGTATGTGCTACTATAAATTGTGAACTATTAGGATGGACTGGATTTTAGGCAAGTTGTAGTTATGGATGTTCGGTTGGGATGTAAGGAGTACCCGTATTCTATTCCCTTAGCTTGTGTTTAGAAGTTTACTTGCTGAGTACCATGTGGTTTGGTACTCACCCTTTGCTTCTACATTTCTATAGGTTACGAGCCCGAATCTTCGTGATACTTACTATTCTCTTCTTTTTCGAGGCTTAGTGTGGAGATTTGTGAGGTAGATGTTTGTCATCTCAGTGGTCGTTCATACTCCTATTTATGATCGTATCCTACTTTAGAGACAACATCATTTGAGACTTGTTTAAATCTTTCAAATTTATTGCAATACATTAGAAGCTTGTACATGTGACAACCAGATTTTGAGAGTTTAGTTAAATTGACTTGTTATCCGAATTAGTAATTATTTGTTTAACTTTTATTTTTATTTTATTTCCGTACTTTGTCTTAATGGTTGAGTTTTAGGCTGCCTTGTCTTGGTGGGATAAGACGAGTGCCATCACATCCATTTTTGGGTCGTGACAATATCACGAATGTTGATTCCTTCTTTTGAATATAATGTCTATCAAAAATAACCTCCCAACACCACAAAAGGTAGGCTAAGGTGTGTGCGCATCCTACTCTTACAAGATCACACTTGGGATTACACTCGGTTTTTTGTTGTTGTCCTGAGTGTGGTTTAGAGGGCCTTTACATTTAAGTAGATTCACTTATCCTTCCTTATACTAGCCGGAAAAAATCTACATGTGGAGATTGTTTCATCTTCTCTACCTGACTATCTTATTTTGGACTTTTGGTTTGAATTCTTGTATATTTCACTTGACATTAAAATTCAAGAATTTCCTTAACTTCTATAAGGGGTTATCTTTCAGTGGGCCAGATCTTATATATGTAAATCCAAACAATAGGTCCTTCTTTTATTGTAAACACATACCAAACCTTTTAAGATATATGATTAAATAGGATAATGGATTCTTTTATGTTGTATCATGTTAAAATGTTGTTGGAGATCCCTAATGAATACACGTTGTATTTTTTGTCCTCATGTTAGTCAATTCCATTAAGAGTTTGTTGGATGGAGCGAGATCAAGATGCTAACCTCAAAAAGAAAGTTGCAGATGAAATGGAATTTGTTGTGCAGTGCTTTAGATGTTTCAAATGGCGGTACATACCTACAAATGAGAGGTATGAAAAAATAAGGGAACACCTATTGGAATGTCCTTTTTATTGTGAAGACACTCGTGAGTGGCGTCCTAGTATATCATGTGACTATATACCAGATGTCACTCAGAATGAAAGAAAACTGTGGGCATTTGATAAGCCTAGTATTCCTCAGCCTCCTTCGGGATGGAAACGAATTTTAAAAATCAGAGCAGAAGGAGGCACCAAGTTTGCTGATGTGTAAGTCTTGCATTTTCTTCATTACCTAGAACAATTAGACTAATGTACAAATATATATTTCATGGTTCTTTAATTTTTTTTTTGTCATGATTTTCAGGTATTATGATTCGCCTACTAGAACGAAATTTCGTTCCAAAATAGAAGTTGAAAGGTATGTTAATTTTGTCAAGTTGAATCAGCTTTATAAAACATGTTTCTTTTCCTAATCCTTTCTTGGGTTGGTATAAATTTGTGAAGTCATAATTTAAAATATGTACTTCATTTGTAGTTTTGTTGCCACATTGACTAATGGTCTTTATTCCTAGGTACTTGAAGCAACATTCGGAGTATGCATCACAAGGCGTAAGCTGGAAAAGTTTTCATTTCAGACCCCAAGACCTCTACAAGAAGATTATGCTAAGAAGCGTAGTCCAACACCTTCATATGATATAAATGGTGCTAATGATGGTATGTGTATGTGTATGTGTATGTGAATTAAAATTCCTTAAATTCGAAGTAAGATCATGCACATGCATTCTAATTACTTACTTGCGACATGCCTGAAAAATAATTTTTTGTCCTTAAAATATAATCAGAGATATTCATATCATTCATTTCAATTAAAGAAAATGACAGAGAATTCATTATTCTACTAGATAATGCATTTAGTAAAGGTTGGAAAAAGTTAGTAGGGATAGTAAAAGCCTTCATTAAAAGGAATACAACAACCTTAACAAAGTTTAAATGCATAAGGGAGCCAGATACTGCTGCATATAAGGGGAAATGGAGATAGAACCAGAGGGATAAATGAATGCAAAACAAATTACTTTGTTCGGATACCCAACTCCTATAAACACCGACACATCTGATTACACCTAAGAAACATAAGGAATAACTAATAAATGGATGCAGAAAAATATTTTGAGACTTAGAGAGACCTTGGAGTTGCATTTGAAGAGTATATAGAGGAGGCATTAATTCTTCCGTTAAAAATTGATCAAAAGAGAGGAACGGAACAGGGAGAAAGAAGGGATACATTTGAAAAGTGGAGGATCATATACATCATTTGGGAGGAAATAGGTGGATATGGGGTATTTGGTTGGAATATATAGGAAGCAATGGGGGATAATAGTGATGTGAGATGAGAGATCATGGAAGGGAGAAGTTGTGGAATACCACAATCAAAGTATCTCATACAAACTTATTTGCATAAACCATATTTAACGTGGTTTCTAACTGCAATTTACACTTATAGTGATAAAAATGAAAGAAGGAGCTTTGGGAGGAGATGGGTGCCATGAGAAGATTTTGTGAATGACCTTGGGTAGTTTGTGGAAGTCTTAACACTACTAGATATACCTCAGAAAAGACTAATTGCACTAGACTATCGAGAGTTATCTCAGATTTTTGTAACTGCATAAATGAATTAGAGATGATCGATCCCCCTTTATTTGGAGGTTATTTTACTCGGAGAGGAGGAGAAAATAAGAGAAATGCTTGCGGAATATCCTTGTTCCTTTATGCAATCCCTTAGGATGATTTGTTTACTCAAATCAGACAAAGTACATTACGAAGCTTGGGGTCCGATCAGCATTCCATAGTTCTGACTTGTGGGGATGAGACATTCAGGAAGTCCTACTTCAGATTTTGAGAACTTGTGGCTAAATGTCGATGGATTCAAAGACAAAGTGCATGACTGGTGGAGTTCTTTTAATGAGAAAGGAAAACCTAATTTTAAGTTAGCTACTAAGTTGAGTCTCCTAAAACAGAAACTCAAGGAGTGGAGGAAGAATAAAAAATGGTAATTGAAGGGAAAAAAAAGATCAAATCATAGAGAAATTAAGAAGTTTGGAAGCTATTCAGAAACTTAGAACTTTAACATATGATGATGAACAGTTGATCAAGGACAATTTAACAATGAGTAAGAAGAAGTGGCAAAGAATGAAGATCCATTGGAGACAGAGATCTAGAATCCAATGTATTAACAACGGGGATAAGAAGACCAAGTTCTTCAAAAAAATGGCTACAAGTTACAAAAGGATTAATACTATTGACACTTTGAAGATTAATGAAGTAATGAAAACTGAACACTTGGCAATTAAAAGCTCAATTGTAAACTTCTATCAAAATATATATAAAGAACATGAAGGTTGGATACTACCTCTAAACATTATGATTGTCAAGAAAATCACAAAGGAGAAACAAGAGTGACTATCAAAAGGCATTGAATAGGAGGAGTTCTCGGAAGGGGTCAAATTATGTGTTATTGACAAAGCACCTGGTCGAGATGGCTATACTATGGAATTTTTTCATGCCTTGTGAGACTAGTAAAGGAGGATTTGATTCAGACTTTCCATAACTTCCACTCTCAGTAAAATTTTGAGAAGAGCTTTAATATTACCTTTGTAGCTTTAATTTCAAAGAAGGCATGGACAATGATCTGAGAGACTTCATACCTATAAGTCTGATTACAAGGGTTTATAAGATTATTCCCAATGTGCTTGCAAAAAGACTCAAAAAAGTGATTGATAAGTTAGTAAATGAGCATTAAATGGCCTTCATCAAAGGAAGCAGATTATGGATGATTTCTTTATAGAAAGACAATGCATTGATACCAGAATCAGAGGGACAACACCAGGGGTGATGTATAAGTTGGATATTGGAAAAGCTTATGAACATTTGAATTGGCAATTTCTGATTTATACCTCTAGACAGATAGGACTTGGATGGAGATGGATAAGTTGGATATCTTTTTGTATTAAAACTATTTATAAGTTCTTCGTTCTTGTTAATGTAGAACCTACTGGTTTTTTCCAGTAGAAAGATGATTAACACAAGGGGATCCCATATCCCCTTTTATGTTCATCACTCTTATGGAAGGTTTAGATAGTCTTATAAGAGTTGGTTCCGATAACAACTGAATAAGGGGTTTTTGTGTCAAAAATATGGCAGATGAAAATATGGAGTTGAGTCATCTATTATATACTGATGATACATTAGTTTTCTGTGAAGCAAAATAGGAGCATATTTGTTACTTGAGGGTGATTCTAGATATTTGAATCTTGGTTAGGACTTAAATTCAACTGAAGAAAGAGTAGTATATTCCCAATCAAGGAAGTTATGCAGATTGAATCAGTGGCAAGTATTCTTAAGTACAAGGTGGAAAATCTATCAATGGTAAATCTTCCCATGCTACTGGGATCCAAACATGAAGCAATTGAGATCTTGGATGACATTGTAGAAAAGTTTGAGAAAATATTGGTATTATAGAAGTCGCAATACTTATCTCTGGGAGGAAGAGTAACATTGATTAACTCAATGTTAGATTCTATGCCAACTTATGTGATGACATTGTTACCAATTCCTAAGAAGGTGATAAAGAAATTCGATGTTTTGAGGAGGAACTTCCTTTAGCAAGGAAACAAAAATGAGAAAGGGTTCAATCTGGTGTAATAGGTACCAGTCCAACAAAGTAAGAAGAATAGGAGATTGGTAGCCAGAAACCTTAAATTACAAAGCAAGTGTTTGCTATCCAAATGGCAATGGAAATATGTTCATGAATATCATGCACTATAGAAAGAGGTAATTCATCATAATTATGGGAAAGAAAACCACTAATGCACTACCTATAGAATTGGGATGTGGAGAACTATTAGAAATTACTGGACATAGCTAAAATGCAAAACTAAGATTCTTTTGGGGAGGAGAGATAAGACAAAGTTTTGGACATACAAATGGTATGATCAAGGGATTCTAAAGAACTTATTCCCTAGATTCTTTTCCATAAATTCTAACCCTGATTAAATAATAGAGGAGATGTGGATTACACATGGGTGTGTCACGACCCCAACCGTCATGTTTGACACCCACACTAATCCTCCGGTGGGAGAACCATTTCTACAACCCAACCAAGCAACTTAAAGAAACTAAACCATTTTAAGATATATAGGCAGGTTTAAATGGCAAATTAAAATGAGGAGTTCCCATATACTCTGAAATTCCAACAAACAACTATCGCAGAAATTCAACCCCTAGAACTGAAAGCCAATGTACCAAAACATTACCAATCAACAAGTCTAAGAAGAAGGGGTGCAACCCCGAAAGCTAAACATAAGTAAATGCCTAAATGTCTAGTCTGAGTCCGAAAAGAATGGACTAAAATAGATTAAGGATCCATGGCAGCCTGAAAAAACTGGCTCACCCTCGAATTCGGTTTAGTCAATGGTCTCCTAGCTGAGGTTTATTAGTAGCCGCCTGAAGATGCCTTGTACTCAACAAAGAAAGAGCAAATGCAGTATCAGTACACAAAACAACAGTGTACTGGTACGCGGCTACTTCTGTAAGCGTAATATAAGCAAGTCATTACCACACAGTAAACACACATATACAAAAGGCACAATTCAATCATCATTCTAGGAGCAACATACAATTTCCCAATAACCACGACAGGTAAATATAAATGTAACAATCACAAATGGTTCACTCATGGAACCCACACCCAAACGGTTAGTGTGTCGGAACGTGGCACCCGATCCAAAATATATGTGTCGAAATGTGACACCCGGTCCAATATATGTGTCAGAACGTGTCACCCGGTCTAATATATGTTTCAGAACGTGACACCCGATCTAGTCAGCACAATCACACCCATAAGAACAGTGTGCATAGTAACACTGTCAAACAACAGGCTCATGGCATGTAATTTTTCATACACATTCATTTCATTAGATTTAGTTCATGTCTCTCTATCCACATACATGCATGCATACAATGAAGCAATTAATAAGCATATATAACATAACAGGAAGTCGAACCATCACCTACCTCGAAACCAAGCCTGAATACTCCTAAGACACTTGAGCCTTGCTTTTTTGAAGTCTTTCAGCTTGTTCTTCGTCTAAAACAAGTAATTAACGTAAGGATCAATAAACAATGCCTAATTTATCCGGATTATATCAAAATATCAACCTAAGGCCAAACCAATGATCCTAATGTTCAACTAGGGCTTTTCCCACCATTTATCTTCAGGCCAAAACCCTCCCACAATGATAATTTACAAGGATTCTAAGTTCTAAGAATCGAAATACGAATTAGGGGAGTAATTAGCTTACCTTTAGAGCGAGAAATCGTGGGAATCTAATAAGAAACTGCCCTGGGTCATCCCTTAGATCTTAAGAGCAAAGTTTTGCAGAAAATAATGATTTTGGGGTTTTTCCCCGATTTAAGTCGCGACTGTCCCACCACAGCGGGACCTGTCCCACCACAGCGGGACCTATCCCGCCACAGCCGCCCTGGCGGAAATAACCCTGCCCCAGCGCCTTGCATGGAGACAGAAACTCGAAATTTGAGTTCCAAGGTCACATTTCACAACACACCTTCAAACCTGGACGTTCTAAAACTACCCTTTCATGCCAAGATCAGTTTCGGGAGTTCTACTTGCCCGAATTCAATTCTGTTAAGCCGACGTG